GAGAGAGAGAGAGAGAGAGAGAGAGAGAGAGAGAGAGAGAGAGAGAGAGAGAGAGAGAGAGAGAAAGAAACTTAAAACTTGGATCTATCACTTCAGTAACCCCATTAAAACTTGTATCCTGTGTAGCATCGTGTTCGGGTTGAACGTTCGGGACCGAACATGTTCGGACGTTCGGAAAAGCTCTGAACATGTTCGGTGTGCTACACAGCTTGTATCATTTGCAGCGTACAAGAACACACTTAATGGTGTTTCATCTTTTGAATGTGCTGATCAATGAATTTCAAGTTCCTCAACGGCTGGCGGCATCACAAAGGGAGGAGCATTTCCATTCCAATACGAGAACATCTTCAGATGTGAAGCGGGAAAACGGAGGTTGTTTGTCATCGTCGTGCAGTTTACAGACCTGGAAATTTTCAATGTTCGAATATATGAATGTCGGGTAATAAGGGACGCTCAACCCGCTTCTCAGCAGGTGCTGCTCCCCAGCAATAGATGGAGCCACCCCGGGATAGCTTGAGGCGACTGCTCCTACCAGCATCTCAAGCTGTCCCATGGGGCTGATTACCAGCATCTCAAGCTGTCCCATGGGGCTGATTCCCCCCCGCCCCCTCCCACACCAAGAAAAAAACGAGACTCGAGATTTTTCAGAATTATGTCTTTTCGAGTTATTAGAGCGATAGAGGTTGTTCTGGTCACAAAATGTGGCACACTCGATGCTGGGAGATGCCTTGAGGCTTGAAGGTTATTATATGTCTCTCATCATGGAGTTTGAAAGTCTGCCTCAACCTCCACTTCCGAGTTGCATCTTAGATGGTTCAACATGAGAACGTTACTGAATGTTTTGTTTTGCAAAGAGACTTCTTATGATCATTTTGAGAAATTTTCAATTATTTTTGACCTTTTAATACTCTCAGACTCTCAGTAAAGAGAGTCTCATAATTTTCTTTACTTTTGTGTTAGAATGTCACATTGTTTTTTTATAATTCGAAGCATCTGACTTTGTAATGGTGGTTAGTTTACGATTTTTTTTATTATTTATTTATTTATTTTATTTTTTTTGAGAGAAAACAACCCGAGTAAATGGTAGGGGTCATCTTTAATATTTACTCGTGATTGTTGTTGGCCTTGTGCAGGTTTTGTGATATGGTGCACATTCGTGAAGTGTTTTTTTTTTTTTTTTTTTTTTTTTTTTTTTTTGACAAACCAGTCGCGAACGTAAAGTTAAAACTGAAGCGGGTTCTTTCCATGATTTTTAATTCCTGGTCGGCTGTAGCCTTGCAACAGAGTTGTGCTGCTTCTCAAAAGTGGTGGGGTAGTAGAGTATATGTGACCTAGGGGCCTTCAGCCAATAGGGTGCCGCCACAATCCAGATTCTCGGTTGTAACGTCTCTCTACCCATGTGCCCGCTCCTCTCCGTGAAACGCCGATTCCTTTTGCCCAAGGGACCTCATGCTTGCCGAAGGGACCTCATGAGGTCCCTTGGGCAAAAGGAAGAAATGGCTGGGGAATCCTCAGAGCCCAAGGAATTTCCTTCGGAGTGTTTTCACTTTTTTTTGTCCGACTGCATCCCAGAGGATAGGTGGAACGAACGATTCCTCGGGGACTTTACGTGCCCGAGGAGTGTCGAACGAGCTCCCTACAACCCCTGACCATGTGACCTACTACCCCTGACTTGCCCGTTTTTGCCAGATTCATGTCAGCGACTATGAGTTAGAGAGAGTTAAGCACTTGTAGCATAGGGAGAGGTGGGCATACTAATTTCGCCCACAGCTGTATCTTATGAGGCAGGGACCGGGCTAAGCTTGGGGTTTAGTGATCGAGGTCTGTTGGCCCCTGATCATGTCAAACACGTTATACTTCGATTGATAAATACCCTTCGACACTGGGACCACTTAAAAAAAAGACCACTTAAAAAAAAGATAATAAAAAGGTTTCCAATCTAGGCTCAGCTCACCTTGTTCGGCCACACGTGCAAGGACCAGGGAAGGTCCTAGGCTCCTAGCTAAAAAAAAAAAAAAAAAATCTGAAAAAAAAAGTTACGCAGAAACATAAATTGAACATTGAACAACTTTCGGTTCAGGGTCGCATCGAAATTCGTTACCAAATTTAAAATAAAAAATGAAAATAAAATTATGAAATACAATTGAAATTCGCCGCAAGATGCTCTTATTACCCAGGCTTCATTTCCGTGTGCCCCCGGCAAGCACAGATCCTTCCACTGTCACATGGCCGTGCGGGTCTCTCATACGGGCCCCGTGCGGTCCCAGCGCGATTTGCATGGGGGGCAATTTCGGGTCCGCCATATCGTACCTCTATCCCACCGTCTGCTACCTGCCTCCCGCCACCTCCCACTTCCCTTCCCGCCATTTACCACACCCATCCTGCCATCTCCCACCTACTTCCCTCTACCTCCGACTTCCCCTCCCACCATCTCCCACGTCCCTCCCTCCATCCTCCGCCTCCCTCCATCCTCCGCCTCCCTCCCCCCACTTTCGTCCTCTTCCACCATCTTCTTCCTCGCTCCTGCCATCCTCTGCCACCCGCCCACCATCTCCTACATCTTCTCCCGGCGTCCTCCACCTCCTTCCAGCCACCTCCTACCTCTCCTCCCGCCGTCTCCCGCTACCTCCCACTTCCCCTCCCGCCACCTTCCACTTCCCCTCCCGCCATCTCCCACGTCCTTCCCACCATCCTCCGCCTCCCTCCCACCACTTTGGTCTTCTTCCTCCCTCCTGCCATCTTCTTCCTCCCTCCCACCATCTCTTACCTCTTCTCCCTCCGTCCTCCGCCTCCTTCCTTCCACTGACAACCTCCAAGTAGCAGTGTGGCAAACATGTGTGGAGAAGGCAGATTCGAGCACTTTTCGGCATGCGCAGCAGCCCCCCATCAGCACCTTTTTTTCTTTATTTTTTTAACTACCTCGCACGGGTGACCGGTGCAGCCGGCGGACCGTCCAGGCTGCACGGGTGCACATCCGTGCAAACGGCTCAGGAAGCCTAGTCTTTTACAGAAATTTTAAATTTTCTATCTTTTTGTTACATTTTGGGGCCTCAACGAAGGTCCTAACATTTTGCTGAGTATAATATCGGCAGGCGTTTTATTCCTACATACCGCCCGGGCATTATTTTTGGTTACCTCCGAGCCTGTTTTTTCCGACTCTGATTTTCACTGTGCGCCGAATTTTGCCAAGCCTGGGTTCCATTTTGTTATTTTTTTGGTACTCTACTGAAAAAAGAAAAAGAAAAAAAAACACGGCTTTTAAAAAGAAGAAGAACGGCGTTACAGAGACACTCTCACATCCAGGGGAAAAATAATAATAAAAGAAAGAAACTCAACACCCCTTTGGGCGTGATACGGGGTAGATACAGTATCCACAGTAGATGTCGGAGTATGCCCTCACTGAGGGCATCACAGCAGCCGTGTCAGGTCCGTGCTCGGAAGGGGAAAAAAAAAAAAAAAAAAGTCGAAACTGAACTTAGGGCAGGATAGCAGTTCGATACAGAATGCGAAGTACTAGTGTGGGCATGCCGTTCGTTACAAAGTGTCAGGCTGTCAGCAGCCCGTGAACTGCGCCCTGGCTCGCTGGCAGGGCCATGAAGGAAAACAAAATAGCAAAAAAAGAAAACACAAACACCAAACCCTGAAACTGGCCACAAAAGCAGTTAGATGCATGGCGGTGAGTGTTGATGGGAGCACAATTGTTCACGGCCTTTGGGCGAGAAATACGGACTGACGTGTATTCCATTTTTCCCAACACTGAGAAAGGTAGTGGTGGTTTAAGACAGTCCCATTTTCCTTAATGTATCTGACCACAATGACAGCCTCTCCTGATGAATCTGACAGCAATCAAGTGCAGAAAATGGTTGGAACAAGGCAGCGGCACGCCCTGTCCTATTGGGTGGGCCATGCCCCTTATAGTTAGGGCAGATCCACGCTAGCCCTTACTCTTTTTCGTTTTTTTTGGTTGGTGGTGGGGGGGATACAGCGTTGCTCTGCTGGAGAGGGAGATACGAGAATTTTTTTTGACAATTCGAATGGCATCCACAACTCGAGCTATGTTATGAGGGCGGACGTCCGGGGACCGCCTGGATGTCCGACTTGTCCGATCGGACAACTGGGGCGACGCCTCCCAGAGACTGCATGTCCGAACCCCCCCCACCCCCTGGCAAAAATAATAATAATAATATAAAAAGTTATTAAAAACAAATTCTATGGGCTCCCCGTCACATAAGCTGTATGATAAAAACATTTCGGGTCATTTGAACCCGTAGAAACAAAGAAAAAAAAAATCGCCAAAGATGTCTTCGTCAATTTCAACCAAACAGGTCTATCTTATCAAGGGGTTGTGTGTGTGTGTGTGTGTGTGTGTGTGTGTGTGTGTGTGTGTGTGTGTGTGTGTGTGTGAGAGAGAGAGAGAGAGAGAGA